GTACCCGTAATGGGACAGCTCTGACGTAAGAGCACGCCAGCGAGAGTACAGCATGAGTATATTTACATGTTTCAGTACTTTTCCCACATTGCGCGAACAAGACTGGAATCTTTCAATATGATTTTGTTCAATTCCGTTTATTGGATTGTCAATCGAACCTGATAATCAGTGTCTTGGCACATGCTTAGGGCCTTCTTGAACAACGAATTTTGAACATCGTGTTGAGACTGCAACCACAAAACACCCTGTCAGGTTGAGAGTGTGCGCCGTGGCATGTGTGCAATGAAAACTTAGGAAAATGAATTTCATCTTCTTTCCCCCTATTGATATGTGTAACGTGTGGGAAAGCAACCATCTTCTGTTGCACGAGGCCTGAATCAATGTAAAAATGGTAAATAAACTGCTGGAGCTCCCACTCCCGGAAGGCGTCCAGGAGCTCCACGAGGAATGTGCTAAAAATGCATATGCTGTGGCAATATTCCGAGTTTGGACATAATTTTCCCCTTGAGTTGCAAGCTAAGGTGATGGAAATTATGGTTGCGCACTTCCATTTCACCATCGGATTCCGTCCCACGAGGCATGTATCGCATCGCTGTCATGAGAGGATGCATACGCGTACATCCTTAAGCAATGAAATGATTCCGTAGTCGTTGGATCCAATAGGCATGTTGCAGTACGCCTGTAATATTTAGAGCACTTTGGCAGGACATTGTGGCAATTTCACAAGGAAATTTATGCAAATTACCATGTAGGGAGCGATGGCACCCATTATCTTGCAGCACTTAATTCGGGATCGAACGGGCTCCTCCACACCCCCTTTGCTCAAGGACAACGCCATCAACTCCTTCAATGCGGGCATATTGAGGAGTGGAAGCATGGCTGAGAGGGCTGCCATCCATTCTGTCTCCTCCTGCGACAGCAAAAGGCAGGTACAGTAAGCCGGCGATGCTATTAGTAGTTTCAGCCACTTGTGAATTGGTGAGACATTGTGACAAGCTGCGGGTACGTTCACCATCAACCTACTTATTCAAGGTATCAATTTAACCCCTGTCAAAGACTAAAAAGGAGTATTCCAAACGCAATAAACATGTGTCTTTTCGCACACTTTTGCGTGCTACGCATACCCTTCCAGAGAAAAATGGGCCTGCAAATGGAGTACCCACTGTATCAAACAATATTCATAATGCAGAAAACGAATATAGTCAAGCTTCCTGTCCGAAAGCGATGAATCAATCCGTAACGGTTGTGCATAATCGTTAGTCTATTATATAGTCTATATCAGTCTATATTGATGCTTGCCACACCTCCACAGTGTTGTTTGCCCTCAGTCCTGCCACAACCACAGGCTTGATCCACTCCAGCATGTCATTCTGCCTCAAGAGTCTGTCCTCTGCTATCTTTACTGCAGTTCTGGCGAAAGCGATCTGCGAACGTGCAGGTTCTGGTCATTATGGCTCCGAGGAACGCAGGAAAAAGAAAAGGGCGCTCAGCACAAGGCCGCCAGCTGCTGTGCCGCAACACAACATCAGCGTATATGGGCCACAAGCAGAATGTGGACGATCTATAAGGACTGGAGGGAAATCAATGCACGTATTGAATGGCCACGTTCTCTGGCCCCTTTGGTTCGCAGCAGACACCAACTGTTGAGCGGACGTAAGCCGGCGTGCAGTGGGAGCAGAGCAGTGGAATAACGAATTGTCGCACCCTTGGCTTGCGTTAGTACTTACACATTGTCACCTGTCCTTCCAGATCCATTCCCTTCACTGCCTTGTCAATAATTGGTGAGATCGCCCCGACATCTATAGACGCTCTTGTCCTGAGGATGTTTGGAATACTACAACACATCACGAGGAAGTGAGCATTCAGTCATCAGCGCACATCCAGAATGGCACAAGGGCGAGGGTCAGACGTCAGTCCACCGAGAGCATGTCCAGAAAGTGCTTCATGCCCATGACCGCAAACATAATGCCGCGGTTGAGAGTGCGCCCAGAGAGGGGTATTTGAGCAATCTCAAAATTTTTACGTTGCTCGCCAGAAAAAAATCAGCGATTTTAGTCGGTTCCGTTCGCATTTGAACAGTGGCAAGTTTACCGAAGTCGTTGATTAGCAGTGTTGGCCAACAATAGAACCTTCAAATATAGACGGGCAAACAACGTTTTCTGAGCCAACTTCAAAGATCTTGTTTTCTTCTGCTTTGCCACGAGCCCCCGCGCATATCAGCAGAATGGAAAGTCCAACCATCTACTCCTGGCAACCCATTGAGCAGCGCAGAGCGCGCCAAATTCACACTTGGAGCCTCCGACGCCACTTTAGCCGATGACGCTGTGCATTTTCAATGAGAAAACTCGCCCCTCCCAACAATTCCCATCTGTGCCCAGCCCCGCCCTGCCCGCGTTCTTCATCACTGAAACTGAATTTCTTTGAGTCACTTCCTGAGCTTCGAGAAATTGTGATCCAGCTGTTCCCGGATCCATAGCCGTCCCCCACCCACCCACCCGCCCACCCACCACCGCCAACAACAACAGCAACAAAAAAGGTGAGAGAGACTTAAAGCATTGTGACTGCCAAGCACACGAGGGCAGGCCCTTGCCGTCACGGCCACAAAGCCATCTCATGACAGCCACACCAAACCCATTCGGCCCCTCCAACGCCCCAAAGCGCCCTCACCGACCTTTCTATAGCGCACAGCTTCTGCACTGGTATGCCCTCCGTCAGAAACAGTATAATGCGCTCCAGATCGCCCACACCCTCGTCCACCTGGCAACACGCCACAGCAAGGCACTCAGCGCCTGACCCCCGCACCGGCACACACACAAACGCGCGTGTTCTTGCCAGTGGCCCTTTGTACGTCGTGGCTTCCAGGGTCGCTGAGACGCATCTCTAACAGCCAGACAATGGGTCGCTGAGTAGAGATATCGACCAGCCGGGAGCAGTGGAGTGAGACGTCTCCTCACAATGTGCCCGACACCTGCAGTATTCATAGTACAGCGCGTCTGGTTCGCCACTCTGCGTTTCTCAAGACGCGCAGGCCCCGGCCCTATCGGGCAGCGGCAGGCGCGGCACGGCGGCCGCCGAGAGGCAGACGCGGGCAACGCTTTTCAGCCCCTGCAAGGCGCAAAGGCCCCGCTTGGTACCGACAAAACCAAATGCGGGACGTCCGGCGGCCTCCACCCACCGTGAGGCGCTTCAGCTCGTCCTCGTCTTTGGCGGCCTGCTGCACCTCCTTGGCCTGGTCCTCGGGCGGCTCCTCCAGGGTGAACTTCTCGAAGGCCTGCCGCCGCGCCATGGCGGCGCGGACGTCGCCCCAGGCGGACGTTCGCCGACGACGCGAGTCGTCCGCTCGTCGCGCCGGCCGGGGCGGGTCACGCTGGTCTACACGGGGCGACGGATCGCCGCGCCGCCGATTGTGGGGCGGGGCGGGACGCGGCGCGGCGGCCTCACATCGCTCGGTCGGTGGCTCCCAGCCCGCGCTTTTGGCTTGGGATCGGGCGTTGACGTGCCATCCTGCGGCAAGTACTATGGGGGTTGGGGGTTCACCTTGGGGGATTCAATGTCCCCCCTCCCCGCCCGGCTCGGCCGGTGGTGGCATCCACTTGGCGGCGGAAATGGCCAATTTGGTGCACCTCATCCTCAGGAGATGAACGTGCAAACGGGATGCTTATACCACTTTCTCCAGTGTCTTAGGTTCTTTCCATTTTTTTCACTTGTTTGTTTCTTTATATCTTTATCTGTTTATTGATTTGCTACTTGGTCGATTTATTGACAAATTTACATATCAATTGTTATTGTTAATTATCAATTAAGTCATTCTTAGGTATGTATTTAATGCATTTATCTGTTTGTTTATCTGTTCTTTGGATTGTTCATTCAGTAATCTATTCATTAGCTTCTCATTCTTTCTGGCTTCTTTCCCACATATGTTCTGTTTCTGTGTCAAGTGTGTACTGTTAATTTCTGAAACGCCCATATTTCGTAATTACCAGGGATGCCACATTTGCCGCCCTGGGCTTTGCGGGAGCGCCCGCAGTTTGCAGACGGGCGCTGCCCTCCGATTCTGTTCTGCTTCTATGCATGTCTGCAGGGCGTGGCGGCACCAGCACCATGGCCGCCCATTATTGTGTACCCGTGGCACAAAACCACGGTGAACTACTCCGCTATGTTGAAATTGCAGAGGTTTCAAATACTGCTTAGAGGCACGTAAGGTTCGTCAGCAAAGGGGCGTGGGGGATGCAACCAGGGCGCGTCCGATGAGAGTAGCAGCATGCAAGCATTTCTTCAGTCCAGTACCCCGAAGGATGCAGCACGCATCCATTCAATACATCCATACATTTGTCCTCTCCAATGAAATGGCCTAAGATGAAACACGAAACTCCCCAAACGAAATTATGGACATGCAGACCCCAATTCCACTCCCTTTGCTCCCACTGTGTTCAGCGTTGCTCGTTCTCGCTGCTACGCCCCAACTGAATGGCGCCCTTTTCTGGCCTGTTCACCTGACACCTACCTGCTGCTCGCCCTTGGCAAATTCGACCTTGGTCGAATGTCATTGCCATCTGAACACCAAACGACTGTCCTCAAGTCAGCCCAGAACGTGCGCCATGCGCCCCGCATGATAGCAACTACAAAGCCTCGTCTCCACCATCCCCACAACGCCTGTGAAGCAGTGCATATACGCACCAGCGCCGAGGGAGGACAAACGACGCCCCCCTGGGCCTGTTCCCTTGCGCAGCGCTCTGCATGTGCGCAGGAGGAACATCAACACTGCAAATCGCGCAGGAGCCACAAGCAGTGCAACAAGCGCGTGCTGCTGTGCACTTCCTGCACGAAGTACAAACTGTCGCCTCTCGCTGACAATGGTCCTCCAACAGCGGCGTGGAAGGAAGCCATCTCTGATGTTTGAAGGCCGCCTCAACGCATCAAGCGCGAGTCCAAATGGCAGGAAATGCAGGTCGGCAATGTGATTTCTACCCAGCTGACGGGCACCACCGCTAAGGCATGAGTTACTGTGACGACTCCACCACTGCCCTCTTCACAGCTTGGATGGCTTCCTGAATGCTGGTCACTTTCTGTTGCAAATCCAATGGCACAGAGCTGTCGGTTTTCACTGTGCAGCGGCATTAACAGCATCTGCAATGCATTTATTCTCAGCGGCCACTCCACCATCTGTGAGACCTCCCTGCATATTGCGGCGCACCAACTTGGCACGCCCACAAATTCCGGTGTGTGAAGGAACAAAAGACGCCCGCAGCACCAAGCATGGTATTGTCATCCTGAGTCCTACACTCAGATAATTGAGTTCTCAACCTGGTCTCGAAATAACAGCGTCGTATGGTTATACGCAAGCCATCTTCTACGCAAGCCAATATGATTGAGGTTGTCAAGGTAACCATTCAAACACACAGGGGAAGCAGAAGCTCCACATTCCAAGAAGACTCACCGCATCAAACCCCACCCTCAACACTGCAAAGCCAGAGCCAGATCTGATGCGCACATCTGCTCCCAAGGCATCGATGGCAATCACAGCTGCTTCGTCGACTGGTGACCCCTCAGAGGAAAACATCTTCTGCAGGTCTTCTTTGCAGCTATCATTCAGAAACTGAATCACAAAGGCAAACAGTGGTACCACTGCAACACAATGCACAAGATGACGACATGGCAGTGCTTGTTGCTACATAATGGGTAGTTTGTTGATAAGAGCATCACAGCTGCTATCAATCTTTGTCAGGGGCGGTGCTACAGCGCCGATTTGCAAAGTGGGTATCACGCCTCACTGTGCTGCAGTGTAAACCCCCCAGACAGTATCGAAGTCGTGTCAGAGAACATGACGAGCCAGGACCTTCATTGTGGGCATCACAGAGATGCTGTTTCCGCCCATGGCAGAAACGGCAACAATAGAAACAGCAATCACACGCCAAGATACTCACATGCATCATGTCCTGATTGCTGTTGACAACTATTTCGTCTGGTTTGCAGGCCAAATAGTCAGCAACGTCGATCCACTGCACCGTCCCAAAGCCGCCAACAAAAAAGATATCCTTGATGTGGTGCATCCTGAAGTACAAGGTGTTGCCCGTCACGTACTTCTCCTGACCATTGTTTCGGAGTTGGAAAAGCTGCAAAACACAGCACACTAGAGGAATAATGCAATGCATGTAACAAGGCTAAAGTATGGCAAGCATTCAGTCCAAAGTCATCTGCCCATTTGCAGGATTGAATTTTGCCTGACGCTTGGTTTCGTTTGCATGTGTGTGGAATACGAATGCCTCCCCTTCACATCAACCAGAAGGGGCACAAGCACCTGTGCATCGTTTTCCTCACTCAAGTTTGAGACAAGAGGATGAATGGAAGCACATTGAGCTTTGCTCTCAACAACACAGGTATCATTGTGCGCTGCAACAAGTCCTCCTAAATACTCTCTGTCTGCTTTGTGGGAGTGGGCTTTGTCACATGGGTGCAAAGGCACCGATTTGTCAACTGGAACAATACAAACTTGGTTTCAAACTGCATCACAGATGACATGGAAGGTTGTCCACGCACTCCAGCAATCCTACGACAGTTGCCCAAGGGGTGGGCAAGCTGCATGGGTGCCTGGAAAGAGGGATGATTCCCTTCACGTATTCACCCCAGATTCCGCCCCAACGGAGATGAATTTGGCCAGATGCACATGCTGACTACCTGATAATTGCCCATAGGGGGCACACAGGATACTGCTCACTAGTGCAGCTCCAGCAAGAACCCCGAACAGGAAGCATCGCCATTGTTTGCATTCCAGAGCCAACAATACTGTGTTGAAACCTTGCACCATTATGCTAACACTGCTATGTAACCCTGCCTGTCATTGTTCTCTGTCCACCTAGTTATTGCCATCTATGTCAATTCATGTGATCTTCAATTTCCTATCTTTGCGTATTCCACAGCATGCACTGTCCACACCACACTCTGGGGCCAGGGCTTTACGTTTTTCTTAACAGATGTGCAATAATGCTGCAGCTGGAACTGGGAGGCAGACAGGGCATCACCCACCTCCCTGGCAGCTTGGTGCATGCCTGGAGGCAGTTGGTAAACATCTCCAAAGAGCGTCACCCTGGCATTTGACAAGCCGGCCCATCCCTGCATGTTGACCACCAATGAGCAGCAGGAATTCTCCAAGATGTTGCGTGTGGGGATCGCAAGAGGTGATAGTTGGATGACTGGGCAACCAGCGCCGTCAGTCGCAAATGCAACCTGCAGATGGGGGGTGCCCCAGTAATGTCAACCCTCGTTGAATACAATCGACAAAGTCGACAAGACACAGCACGTTCACCCCAGGACAGGGTGGTACAGGGCACTCTGACGGATGTGAATGGTGGCATTGGTGTGTATGCTGCATTGTGCTATGTGCTGCTGCTGAACAACTCAGATATTTCTGCATACCTATCCTGAGTATGGAAGAGAGCATTGAAAAACCAAGAGGGTGAGGTGGTGCATTATTGTCACAACAATCCTGCGGTTGGATGCAGATATTCTAGGAATGGTTGTGGTGACCCGCAGGAAAGTCTATGGTCCACATTTGGGCCAACCAAGCTCCATGGTGGAATAAAAAGTTCAAGCACTCCAGCGCACAATGTTCAGATATACATTACATGCACGCACAGGCACTGTAAGGAATGCAAATGAACACTTGGACAAGGCATGCACTACACAGCAGCAACTTCCAACATAAGGTGAATGGAAACTGTTTCACCTTAACAAAATGTTGTCATCGTGGATTCAATTTAAAATCGCTGGAAGCATAACAACCATCTATTGGAACAGCATGTCACAGGACCAACAGGGGCGATTGCAACCAACAGATAACACATGGTGAGAAGAGACTGCCCACAGATCGTCACCTCTGTTCCAAAGGGACATCCCGCCCGTCTGTGGTGCATGTTTGACATGATGGAGCAGAGCTGTGCAGACTCTGCTGCTTCCACCTGGAAGCAACAGCAGCAATACTGATGGCACCAAGGCTGAAAGAGGAATCTCTGAATGCTTTTGAGCTACACATGCAACAAAGCCAAACTTTGCAGCATGGGAGAGACTCTCTAACACGTTGTCCAGGAGGGGCATGCTGAATTCGGTGCCTGCCATCTTCCATTTGACAATCATTGTGAACTCTTCACTGAGTACCCAACAACATGATGAATCATTGCCCTTGTATCAATGAGACGATGACACACTGACAATCAACGCTAAACCCAAGGTGATGGGTGTTTCTGGGTATCTTGACACTTTTCCTGACATACAGCATGATGTACCTCAATGCTTATTAACCGTTAAAACTCCGGAGGATACATTTGAATATGTGTCGCATGGAAGAAGTGAATAATCTGAAGCACACTGCATAGAGGCACTGCCCGTATGGGGAAGAAGGCCTGAGCACAATGTTGTGCTGGATCACAAGCTGGAGCATCTGTACACATGCCACAGTCTGCCATGCTTCTGTCCATCTGCAAACTTTCACAGTTTAAACATAGACAGTATTCAGCGAAAGCAAACTGCTTGTACTGCAAACAAGTCCTGCCTCACAATACCGGTGCAACACAATTCTAACCAAGTTATAACACTGGTATGAGTTAAGCATATAACTATTGTTGTGCATTCGCCTTGAGGCTGCGGGCAATAGTGTGCTGCCAACTTTGACACCCTCTGTCAATGCAGAAGTGCAAGCCAACATCGGCACTGATGTGCTCCACATCACAACCCTTACCCCAGAGTTGCAAATCCAACAACCAATACTACCACTGACAAATGACCCGTCCATTTGAAGCCACAAGTGTGCTCTGTTTGCAGTGCATATGAGGCAATCAAGATAGTTGAGGGGAAAAAACGGATGCCACTGTCCTCTTGCAGATTTTCTGGCCTTTTTAACAAGCCAATAAACAGGGATGACACAGCAGCCAAGAACCACTGGAATGACCACGATTGATGAGTCCGCATGGCGTCCAATGCTGCTCACCAGATTTCTAGCAGCCAGCTGGGGTGAGGGGAGATCAAATTTCGTGGTGGCAGTCTTGACCCCGCAAGCCAAGGGCCCACCTCTCAGGCTGGACATCTTCACCATACCAGCAGCTGAAGAGTATTGTGTGGACACATCGTCCATGCCTAGGGGTTGGGCTGAAACGCGACGGAAAGGAGCAGTGCAGTGAGGCAGCAGCACAGCGACCACTTTGCAGCTGAAAAACTTCATCTTGTCAACAAATGAAGAGCATGTCATATGTGGGCACATCCTTCTGTCGTAGAATATTTCCCACACTATGGTAGGTGGTGCAGACTTTTATATGCGAAAAGAAATAGCATGCAACACAGACTTGCAACCAAAGTATGGAAACATGCACTCCTGGGAACTGCTTTGTAAATATTGTCGAGGTTGGGCAAGAACAAACTCCTACACAGGCATATATACAACTGCATCGCAAACATCCCGGAACAGCAAAGTCTGTGCCATTTCTGCCATAATTATGCTGATTCCCGTTACATGATGTCCCCCTGCAGAGTCGTTCTGTGCTTGCTTGAGGCGGCAACTATTTTGACCAATGTCTGTGGCAAGCCACCCATTGCGCAAATCAGTGGCCGGTCGCTTGCTGTGGCAGTTCACCTGGGCTGGTGGCCCGCTACGATTCCTGTCACGTCACTGCGCCCCACGCATAGAACAGGTGGGAGATTCTGCACAACATGCGCGAGCAGCGGCCAGGCTGTTCCCAAATCAAGGCCTCCGCGTCCGAACGACCTGCGCCAAGGCGTACCCAGCATCGGATCGCTCCGAACCACGGTGGCTCGATCCTTGTGCGCCTCGCTCAAGTCTGGTTCATCGGCGCGAGCGCAGCCCAGCCGCGCCCGCCTTTTCGGCGTCCCGACTGCACAATTCGCGCGGGCGGGAGCTTGCAGCGGAGGATTGGCCTGCACAGTGGGGGGGTGCCCAATCGCAGGCGGGAGCACGAGGGGCGCCATGTTTTGCACCGCCAGGCCACGTTCGGCAAAGCCAGGAGAAGCCAGCCACCTCGCACGCCCACGCGGCCTGTGTCCCACAACAACCCTGACAGGGAAATCCGTGTCTGCCGCTCCTGGATGCCGCCTGCGGCGCATCCGTCGCACATTCCGGTGCAACTTTTTTTGCGGGTGCCAAAACCATTCTTTTGCTGCGGCGGGTCCACCCACCCGGTGCAACAAAAGGGGAAGGACCTGCTGTTCTAATTTTGCGACAGAATTGCTCCCACTGCGACTGTGTCGGCGGCTGCTCCTTCTGTGACTGAAGTGTGACCTGCAGGCCAGACGCCTATTTTGGGGAATGCGGATCGTGTCTTTGGCGTCTTCGGGCGGATGAAGATCCCGGCCAGTGGCATGCACGGTCCAATGGCCCGCAAATTTCTCCCCAACCCCGTTAATGCCCACCGTTGGAGGGCAGACTCGTTGATGACGGTCATGGGCTTTGCTTTTGGAAGGCTTTCCAACCCCTAGGGATGGCGGTGGACACCAGAGGCGAACATGTGGGATTAACTTTGCCAGTGAGCGCATCCGGCGGAATGAGGACCATGCACTGTCAAGCAGAAAGGCGCATTTTCTCAAACTCCCCTTCCACTTCCCCCCCCCTCCTCTCCGCTGCTGGGAAAAAGCTCCATGTGGGCATTTGTTCCTTGGACCCGTGACCTGGCAGCAGGATTTTCCACCCGGTCCGACCCAACTGAACGCAACCAGTCCACCCCCTCCTCGCACGCGGGGCGCCACCGGCGCGCCTACCCCCCCCCTCCCCTCTCCTCCTTCCCCCGCCCCCCCTCCGCCGCATCCCGGCGCCCTTCCATCCCGCCCGGGCTTCTCCGCGCGGCAATCCGAGGCCAGCCGGACGGGGGGCCCCCTGTGGGTTGGCCTGTGGCCTCCGAGCCCTTCGGCTTTGCCGTTTTGCCCCGCCGGCGGGGCAGCGGCGGCGCGGGTGGCCAGTCGCGCGGGCCACGGGGGGACCGTTTAGCGGAAAGGGGGCTGCAGCGCCCGCATCGCCTGAGCGCTGAGGCCCCGAGAGGAGGCGATCCTGCCGTGGGCAGCATCAGCGCGAGATGAGCTCCGGCGGCAAGAATAAGGTGGGTGGGTGGGTGGAAGGGGGCGCCGGGGCCCGTCGAGGGCATGGGGAAGGCGGGGGGAGGAAGATGATCGGTGGACGGTCTGAAGGTTTGCCGTCAAAAAGGGGGGGCGTATCTGTGGTAGCTCTGGTGCCTTCTTGGCCACGCGGTGCTCGCGACGGGGCCGGAATTTGATCGCGAGCGTCGCTCAGCGACTGATGTGCTCGGGCCACAGTCTGCGGGCCGCGTCGCCGCGCGAGTTGGGGGCCTCGCTGTTAGACGGTCCTGAATGCTGCATCGCTTTGTTTCTAGTTCAACAGCAGCCACAGTTTTTGGCAACAGACGGCACGCCTCTTATTTTGTGTTGTGGACCCAACGTATAAACTAGCTTGCTGGGAGCCCTGTTTGAGATGAGGCTGTCGTCCTCACCTGTTGGACAGGTGGAACGTCGCTTGGTGGTGTAGTATTTTTCTGTTGTGTTGTATGATATTTGGGTATCCAGTGTTTGAGTGCACAGTTGAAGGCCCCAAGGGCAGCACTGTCTGGGAGGCCTTGCCTCCCTCAACGGGTGCGTGCCTGCCTGTTGCTGATTGGCTTGGCATGGTAGAGGGCAGCTGGCAGCAGCAGCTTTGTCAAGGTTGCTCTGTTAGATAGAAAATGGTTTGCGTTGTCCCTGTGCACTCGAACAGCACTGCGTTCTCTGTGCAGCGCAGAAAACAGCACAAAACATCTTGCCCAGAAGGAAAACGCTCCTTTTTGTAGCCTGTTTTTATCTTTGCTGGAAACAGAATCTTCAGGGAATGACTGGTCTGCTGTGTTTGTAGAGGATACAGATTGAACCGTTCAAGCATCCCCCCCAGATGCACCCACACTATGCAGGTAGGAGGACACTGGCATCATTTAGTGCATAGCCTGGAAACTTGGCTTCTCCCCTCTTGTTACCCAAGTGGGGCAACTATGGTTGGCGCAGTGCAGAACATGCACATCTCGGATTTGTGCATTCATGCAGCACAAATTCATAGACATTTCTTTGCCAATCGGGTGCTCTGACCAGTGAGGGCAGTTTGCCATGGGGAGCTGTGGTTGAACAGCAGATGTTGGGCACAGTGGGAGAGAGATAAGATCAAACCAAACAAAGTAGGAATGATCGTGCTGGAACTGCAGTTGTGCGACAATGGTAGATTGGTGGCCCATTTTGGGTAGAGCTTATGAATGCATTTCCTGCCACGTTGCAGAGCAAACCTGGAAGGTTCTGGAGGATGCCATTGAGAAGATTCACAATCACAACGCAAGCAAATTGAGTTTTGAGGAGCTATACCGGTGGGTTTCAAGGTGGCAACGCCCCCAGCACTGAATGGTTGTTGCTCATCCTTGTTGATCATATTCCAACAGTGCTACGTCGAGCTGGGTGGCAAAGGAAAGGCTGCGCAAGTTGCAAGGGATGGATTTTGGAGAAATTGGCCAGTGGGCAATGCAAATATGGGCACCTGCAAGGGAAGAAACGACTATGGTGACAAAACTGTGTTTTTTTAAAGAATATAATAATGATATAGATAACAGAGAAGTGCTAATCTGACCAAACGGCAAGAGACTGGGCCCTGGCTGCCGGAAAGGCATCATGCACAGCAGATTAAGGCACAGGTAGTAGCCAAGATGATTAGCATGGCCATGGCACTGCCTTGTTCCCAACCATGCCACCTGAAACTGCTTAAAAAATCCCTGAATTTCTTGTGATGATCGTATGTGTTTTGCCAAGGGAGTCTTTTGAAATACCTTTGCTTGTAAGTGACGGGTGTACCCATGTTATGTCCTGACAGCAGTGCTTTCCACAAAGTTGCTGTCACTGAGCAGACTGTAGGCCAGTGTGATGCTGATGCACATATGCCTTTCCCCAACTATGGAAGTGCTGCAAGGCACATTGGCAACAAGCTGTGACAAACAGCGTAAATGTCGAGCCCGTATTGGCCTCTAAACGGAACTGTGCAAATCCCTCAACCGCATTGTGAATGATACACTGAATGTGTGGTTGCTCCTAACAGCTCATGTATATGTGGTGTTTTCTCCAGAAATGCGTACAACATGGTTCTCCATCGGTTTGGTGACAAACTGTACAATGGCTTGATAAACACACTGACAAACCACCTACGCAAGATTGCCGCCATCGTTGAGAGCGCACACGGGGAGTCTTTTCTCAAAGAGCTCAAGAATCGATGGGACGAACATCAAAAGTCCACACAAATGATCAGGGACATTTTGATGGTGGGTATTGGAATGCTAGTCCTGCTCGCATAGTCATTGCTTCGTCTGTCTCTGCAATTCCCCTGTTCTTGGCTTGCACACAAGCTCTCCATCCTTGGGGGTTCGTGTTCATCATGTTCTCTGTATTGAGAATGCATCGCTATGCTCAATCCCTTTGAAGACGAAGCATCTCATTGCCATTTCAGGTGTATTCAGGTACTTTCTTGTTTTTTGGTAGGCAATCATCATGCTTCAGTGTGATTGTGGCAGCTTGCCTATACCCTAGTGCTTTGTGTGTGCTTCCTTCAGTACATGGACAGGACATATGTTCAGCAGAACCAAAAGACACATGTCTACCAGCTGGGCTTGGACTTGTGGTGCCAAGTGGTGGTGCGCAACTGTCAGATCTCTGAAAGACTGCGCAGAATCTTGCTGGACCTGGTGCACAAGGAAAGAACAGGGGAAGTAATCGACAGGTCACTGATGCGCTCCATCACAAAGGTGATTCGTGTTGATGGCTGCTACAAAATCTTGCTCCTTTTCTGTGACGTCATGCTGCTTTTCGGGGACCGCCAGGATGGCAAGTGTTCTCATCTTGTTGAAAATCTGCACTGATTGCTTTTTGCTGGAAAGCTGTGACAAAGCACTGTGGTCCTCATCTGCTGTGTGATGTTAGGAATCTGCCACCCTTTCATTTGCTGATGGTCGTAGTTGCATGAGTATCAGACTCCTGGGAAAAATCTATGTGCTAGGACTCTGTTGCAATGCCTTGGCCAGTATTTGTGTTGTGACTGCCATATTTCAGCCATCCAGTTTGTGGGGATGTGAGTGTTGCAAGAGCTTGCACCAAAGCTGATAAGGGCCCAGTTGTAAACATAATGAGTCTGATGTTATATTCTGATTTGCAGATGTTCACTGCACTGGGGAACAATGTCTACGTGGCTGATTTTGAAGACCCCTTTCTCTTGGCCTCAGCTGAATTCTACAAGGTGGGCAGAAATTCAGAAACCAATGCCATGCTGCTAAACATCGATTGCTGTTGGCCCTGAATGTTCTGTTGTTCACTACCAACCTTCATTCAGTTGGGGCTCTCACATTGTGGGGGTGAGGACAGCAATGCTTGGCTTGGTGAGCCAGTCTATGAGCTGTTGGCTGCTGCAAAATGAGTGCTGTGTCTGCACCAAGATTAGTCAAGTCTGGAGAAGCCTTGTTGCCCATTCCTGGAGGCCTTGCCCACAGAGCCATTGCAGAATCATGTCCCCAGGCATGGATATGTGAAAGGGATAAATAAATTAGCGCACCTCAGTGGGCGTCTGCCCATTTCTATTGCCTTGTTTCCAGTACCCCTTAGTTTGACAGAGATGCAGCTGGCTTCCAGATTGTCAAGATCCATTTTGTCTTCTGAAAGCTAGCCTAGGTGCCTGTTGGCTTTGTTGTGCACTGTTCACATCTACACACGTGTTTGTCCCCATACATATTTTGATGCCTGCTGCCACCAAACATCCGTTGTATTATACTGATACATTGCTGTGTGGGAAAATCAGAAAGAGGCCAGTGAGTACATCAGCAGCAGCGACTGCCCTGAATACCTCAGGAAAGCTGAGCGAAGACTGACAGAGGAGAAAGAGAGGGTTAGCAGTTATCTAGATGCCTCTTCAATGGACAAGATCGTCTGCGTGGTTCAGACGGAGCTCATCTCGAACCAGGTGTGAGGCTGCAGCATATCAACTGAATTCGTGTCTTTGCGCGTCGTCAGAAGACATGCTGATGATATCTGGTGGATGCTGCTGTGCATGTGCACCACAGCAGCGCACAAATGCTCACATAACCTCTCTTGGTGTCAAACTCAAGCAATGCCGGGTCTGGAAACAGATACTTATGGGATTTACTGATGTTTTCATGCCACATTGAACAGGTGCTGATGCTATTTGTCGAAATGACTGAGCTTTAACACAGTAGGCGCTCCCACCCTAGTAGTCCAGATAGTATTAGCTCGCTTCTGCATCAGTACTTGTCAATCAGACTGCATGGACTATCAGCACTGGAAAATTATATGCATGGCCTGTGCCAGCCAATATCCAGACAGTACACCAGACAGTGCACCTGAACCAATGAAGGAATGGAAACTGAAAGAAAGGTCTTGTTGTGTGTGGTGCTTGCAGATGAAGACTCTAGTCGACATGGAGAATTCTGGAGGCATCGCACTCCTCAGGGATGACAAGTATGAGGACTTGTACAGGATGTACTGCCTGTTTGGCCAGGTGGTGGGGGGCCTGGAGCTGGTCAAAGATGTGATGTCGTGTTATGTGAAGGACACCGGAAAGCAGTTGGTGCAGGATCCCGAAAGAGCCAAGGACCCAGTCGGTTTTGTGCAGGGGCTGCTGGACCTCAGGGACAAGTATGAGCTGATCATCAAGCAAGCATTCAAGGAGGACCGGAATTTCAGGAATGCGCTGAACCAGGCAAGAAATCGAGACAGAAGATTTGGGCTGCAGTTGCCACTGATCCCCAAACGTGTGCATCTACATTTCGAGATATGTCGTGGTTTACTTCACCTGATAAATACTGTCTTTGACTTGTGTACATGGTCTCAGGGAGACAATGGCATGTGCTTGCCATGCAGTTGAAGACCCTTTCTTGCTGACATTTTTGGCACCACCCTTTAAGCATGAGCATGAACAACATATGATACCGTTTCAAGGACTTAGCGTTTCTCTTGGCTGGAACGAGTAACCCTGCAGCTGTATGTGTGGCAATAGTTGCTCTTGCTTCTGTGTGTGCAGGCCTTTGAGCATTTTGTCAACCTGAGCCCCAGATCGCCTGAGTACATTTCCCTCTTCATTGATGAGAAGCTCCGAAAGGGCATAAAGGTGCTGTAGAATGATTCCCGTTTCTCAGAGTAAAGTCGTGTCATCTTCAGTAAGCGAAACTTGCTTGAATGGTGGGTTGGCAGGTGATTTCTTGCTTTCATGTTGATTGTTATGTAACCAGGTAAACCTCTGGTAAGGTGCTGCACAGTGTTCCAGACATGGATTACTGCATTGCCCGTCACACTGCAACACTGCGTTGTTGATCGGATTAATGCACTGGAATTTGTTGACAGACTCCAGAGCACGTGTTGACCTGTGTTGTTGCCAGTAAAAGTAACCTGACCATCCTCTTTATGTTGTGCAGGACATTGGTAACAGCGAGTCGGATTTGGAGGCGCTTCTGGACAAGGTGATGACGATCTTCAGGTTCCTGCAGGAGAAGGACGTGTTTGAGAAGTACTACAAGCAGCACCTGGCCAAAAGGCTTCTCTCAGGTCGCAGTTTCTCAGACGATGCTGAGCGCAGCCTGCTTGTCAAGCTGAAGACAGAATGTGGCTACCAGTTCACCAGCAAACTGGAGAGCATGTTCAACGACATCAAAACGTCTGAGGACATGATAAGGGACTTCAAGGAAAAGATGGAGGAGAGTGGAACGGATCTTGGACTGGAGTTGTCTGTTCAGGTGACTGGTCACTGCTCTTAATATACTGCGATTGGGTTGATCAATATTGAGCACACAGTTGAAGCTGTTGCTGCTGTTCTTGTTCACACCAATCATCTGGCAATTGGATGTGATATTGCCAGCACATGCAAAGCCAGCTTAAATTGTTTCGTTCAGAGTGTCAAACCCCATCATTGGGCCAATGTTCCCTTGGAACCAAGCAACTGCCAAGCGAAAAAACACTATGAAGGGATGAGCGCCTAGCACACAGTGGCCTGAAAAGGTATGCAGAAAAATGCCAAACACGGGATTCCTTGGATGAGTCAGCAACGTGGGTTTGGGAATTTTGGGGGTGCATGAATTCCCAATGAATTGCTGAATGCTCTGTTGGATGTCCATGCTGTGCAGGTACTCACCACAGGCTCATGGCCGGCGCAGGCCACAGACCAGTGCTTACTGCCCCGTGATCTGGAGGCCTGCTGCGAAGAGTTTCAAAATTTCTATCTGCGCGTGCGGAATGGAAGAAGGCTGACATGGCAGACCAACATGGGCACTGCTGAGCTGAGATTCTCCTGCGGGGGCAGGACCCCACACATCCTGGCAGTGTCTACATACCAGGCCTGCATACTGATGCTCTTCAACGACAGTGACAGGTTGACCTACCAGGAGATCGCTGAAGCCTCGAAGATCCCTCCCGCAGAGCTAAAAAGAAACCTCCAGTCGCTAGCCCTTGTGAAGGGGAAGAATATATTGGTGAAAGAGCCCATGAGCAAAGAGGTGAATGACACCGACGTGTTCTTGTTCAACGACAAGTTCCAGAGCAGGTTCACTCGGATCAAGATTGGGACAGTGACTGCCCAGAAGGAGAGTGAGCCAGAGAAGCAGGAGACACGGCAAAAGGTGGAGGAGGACAGGAAGCCGCAGATTGAGGCTGCCATTGTGCGCATTATGAAGGCCCGGCGGGTGCTCGACCACAACAGCATTGTGACAGAGGTGACGCGTCAGCTGACCGCGCGATTCAACCCCAACCCCTCAGTGATCAAGAAACGCATTGAGAGCCTCATCGAAAGAGAGTTCCTGGAAAGGGACCAGCATGACCGCAAGTTGTACCGATATCTGGCCTGAACAGGACTGTCGAAATTTTCTTGGTAGGGTTATGGGATGGAGGTGCCACAATGCAGATTTGGCGATTGTGTGGCATCCTGGAAGTTAAGCAGGGCACAGTGGGTGTTTCGTTGCTGAAGGGGGCATAAAGAGGAAAGGTGCATCGGCCTGAGCATCAGGCGCCAGTGTCTTGTCAAAGAATCGCACCCATGGATGTGCGTTCTAGACCTTACCGGGAGATGGCCAGCTATTGGCGTGCTTTTGAAGAGGCACATTGCGCAGGATGTTGGACATCACTCTGGCATGCAGCGTTATTCTGTTGACACGTGTCAGGGTTCATGACATGGCAGTGTATTTGCAGCTGTCAGGAGATGCCAGGCGGTTTGCAGATTTGCCTGTTCGAAGTGCGCTACGGAGTGCACGACTGCTCTGGGCATGCGAAAATTTGAGCTGCCTAGGGGCCACTGCACCTTTGATGGGCCAAGGGATTTGTTTGCTCCCTTTGGAGCCCTTTGGAGGACGTGCTGTTGTTTGCCCACCAGCATAGCTAGTCTGTCCTGCAAAGGGGATGATAGCAGGCGAGGGTGAGGGCGGGGGTGGGGTGGGGTGGGGGGGGGGGCGGGATGGGGGTGGCGCTCGAAACCTGAGACTTCAGTTTGGAGTGTTGCATATTGAGGTAGAGGCTTTGATTCGAGTTTGGTGTTTTTCCAAGCGAGTGGAGCCATGTATGTAATTTGAGCCAACCAACATCTTCCACTGCACCCTGCCAGAAATGATTCACAAGCACGGCGAATGCGACGGCCATCTCTTTCAATGGCCACCGTGCGCATGATGATTGTGTCATCGCAGCCCAGGTTGGCCTGTGTCATACATTCCGCTCATTCTTGTGCTTGCTTTTCGCATGCAGTAGCATCAAATACAGACTGAACTGCGGAGAAAGAAACCCATGGGCTGCGTGACAAACTATGAACACCATTGTGTGTGAGCCTTTGCTGGTCACGAGCCACCACGGCCAACCTGGACTGAACTAGCGCTTATAACATACCATATGAAGCAGCACAAAACTCAGTTGTCCTCCAGATGCGCGATCAGGCTCAGAAGGGTCAAGTGTATACTGTGTGTTTTGGCATCATCCTCAAATTTTGAAAGACATAGGGCCCCCGTGGGCTGACTCCGACAAATGTGCGCAACATGTGTTCTGCCCCACACCACGCCTACGGCCAACTGCTGCAGGGCCCAGAACGAGTTCATCATGTCGCATCTCGTGCCCAAGCAACTCAAATGCCGTTACGAACGTAGAGTACGTTTTGGCCTCCAGCCCACCCCAATTTTGATGCCAATCTTGCACCTTCGTAGGGCAGCCCGGTGGAGCCGCTTGTTCTCTTTTCAGTGGTGTGTCGGTATTGAAATGTCCACTGTGCACTCCAGCGGCATCATTCACGAATTGCTCTCACGCCATCAGGCACGCATGCATGGACGCTCCATCTTCGAAATCATGGACAACATCGTGCTTTGCAATGGACGGTGGTCCTTCGCGGATTGCAACACGGTCCGTTCAACGAGTGTGTTGAACTGCAAGGCAACCAGCGGCGGGCTGGCATCCAGAATGAAGGTCTTCCTCAGGGTCTGGGGAGAACTTCTCAAGCACTTCCTGAGCAGTACTTAACACCCCCGAGCTTTTTTGTCAGAAAGCAGTACGAAGCTGCCCAACATTGCGGCTGGTCGGAAGCTGCCCGGCTGGGCCCAGCCACACGCCAAGCACCCCATCTTTGGAGCGGTAGCGCATCATCCTGCCAATCAAAAACTTGAAGGGACAGGACCGATGCCACCCTCTTCCTTGGGGTGGTGTGCGTCGTGCGCCCGACCGCACTGCGCAGAGCACGCAATCCTGCGAGGGAGGCCGCCGGCTGCCTGCGGCCGTTCTGCCGGCGACCTGGCCGGACCAGTAGGCGCCAAGAGGGGTCGCCGGTGCCGCACGCCCGATCCGCACAGGTCCGTGCCATGCCCCTTCATTCCAGCGACCGTCTCCGCGCGCACGGCGGTGTCAGATGGCCAGGCGCTGCCTCGCCTCGCTCCCGGGACTTTGGACACTGAGCGCTGCTCTGCTCGAATTTGGGTCCCACGCGGCGGCCGCGTGCGTCGATGGGCATCTCGCGAAGAAGGGGGCGCCCGTGTTTGGGCCGCTTTTCCCAAAAGGTTCACCGCGCCCCGCTGCCACAGCGTTGGGCGCGGACATGCGCGGCTGCCTCGGTCGCCTCGCGCTGCGGCGCTGCCCTTTGGTGCCACGCACATTGCGGCCCAGGGAGGCAAGCCGCCCGGTCTTGATGTCGGACGGATGCGGGCCTGCGCGGTGAACCACGAGAGTGGGCGTCGCCCGTGGACGTCCCAAGAGGTGTTTCGGGGCGACAATCCGACGCGGGGATCCTTTCGTTGCCTTTTCGCGCTACTGCTGCGCGAGGCATTGCCGCCTGGCTGCGAAACTTGGCCGAACAGAATATCCATTCTGGAGAAGCAGCCCGCGGGGCCCGGTGCCAACGGCGCCTCGTTGGCCTCTACGACAACCCGCGCTCGCGGCGACGCATAAAACGCGCGGGAGCGCCCACCACCCCCAAATCGCCATCGTTCATCGGCATTCGGCTCGGCGTCCATTTTGGAGCGCGCAGTTCAGAGCAGGCAATGGCAAAGTGAGTGGGATGCATCCGCCCTCTCCGCCCGCCTTTTTCCGTCGGCGGTTTTGAGGGACGGCTTCGGGCCACGCTTCGCGCGGAGCCCAGTTCGGCCGCCTCGTCGGCACGCTGACACTGCGCACGCTGGTGGACAGGGGACAGGGGCGGCTCAGGGATGACTGGCCTGCGGGACACCTGCGAGCAGGGCGCAGAAGGAATCGAGACTCCAATAATGGGGGGACAGGTAGGTCGACGCCGGAAACCCGGGTACCAGGCGCGTGCCTCCGTTTGCTGGACCGGCCGTTCCAAGCAAGCCCCAAAGGCGCCAGCTTGCGGCTTGACCTGGCGGCATTGAATTGGGCTGTGTTGCAAAACCGCCGCTCTGACTGCCGGGTGTCGTTTGCCGCCTGCCAGTCGCCCTGCACGGAGTCCGGCATCGGCCCCCCGGGCAGCAGCAGCGACTCGGCGCCGCCCGACGCTGACGCAGAGTCGATGCCGCTTGGCGACGCAGAGGCCCCGGCGACCAACCAGGCGTTGCTGGACACTTCCGCGAGTGTCGCCGCCATCGCCGAGTACCTGGGCGTGCTGGTGTCCAGCAACCCAGCGGAGGTGAGTGCGTCGGCGCGGCGCTGTGAGGGTCGGGACATGGGTGCGCGGGGTGGCTCCTGTTCGGATCATCTGGGGGGAAGTGGTGGTCGGGAAAAAGCAAGATGGAAGAAGGGAGGAGTGTGGAGATTGTTTGCGATACGGATATGAAGTTGAGGTTCATTGCACTGGGAATGGTGTGTGTCCCAAGGACTGTTCCTAAAGGAATCGGTGGGGATGCGTTCCCTGAAGTCTGGTACAGGGGCAGCGATGGGTTCTGGTTGTGTTCAAAACCATCAGCAGCTTTTGCAGGTGCATGAGGGTGAAGTTCTGTTCTGAGTTATAATCTAAGGAACCACACCAAAAGAACACATTCGACCATTTCAGCAACAAGAATTTTTTGGTGAACGTCATGTGCATCAGCAGCTACCTGCACAAAGGAAGAATTGGCAACTATTTGCTGCACCTTCGACATCGGTTGTATGTAGAAACCAGGCAGTCTGCAGTGTGTTTACGAAACCATTCATTTGCTTGACTCACAGTCCGGTCGCCTTTCCGTTTTGTTGGCACCCACTCGCCTTGGGTTTGCAGGCACTCGACCAGATTCTTCAACAACGGGAGAGTGCAGCTGGAAAGGAAGCGAAGGATGATGGCGAGTCACAGCTCCCTGTGGCCATGACAGCCGATGACGCTCATCGCAATCACAAAAGCAGCGGGCGTCAGTTGAGGTGTGTATGAGTCGCATCTGCAAAGGTCTGAAACTAGGAATTGCCACGAACCCCTATTGAAATTCCTGTGTTTTCACACTGGTCGCCAAACTAGCATCAGCTTCCATGGTGGCAGTGTTGCATCTCCTAGATACTCTGTGAACAATTGCAGCCTTGGAAGCAAGGCTTGAGTCTGCATTGTGTTTTTTTCATCGTGTTTGTAGTATTGTCAGCTGGTTGTGGGACTTTGTTTGCTGCAGGCATCTGGTGAAAATGTTGGCAAGGTACAGACACCGCAGGAGCACACACCGCAAGCTGTTTGTGGAAGCCCTGAAACGGAAGATTGAGAATAGATATCCAGCAGGCACTCAGTTTCAGAAATGGCAAGACACTGCCTTCATCACATCTATCCAGATGTTCGACATGTTCACCCCCAACCGGCGTGCAAGGCATGTTGTGTGGGCCACTTTCACGATGATGGCGGTCACATTCGTGGTGTTTGCATTCATGGCTGGTGCCTTCCCCCTCTACCGCTTCCAGAAGGGCTATGAGTGAGTTCCTGGCTGTGGTGCAGTTGTCTTGGAGGTATTCTGTGGTGGAACTGTTGAATGTGGTGCATCCTTATTCTCGTTTTTCATTCAGGTTGACAGCCAGTCCCTTAACCCATTTTCGTCAACTAGGCAAATTTCATGCAATATTCTGCGAGGCACTGCAGACTTCCGGCTGCACCTGTGATTTGCTGCAGGCGGTTGCTCTTTAGACAAAGAAAACAGAACGTTCGCACCTTCCCAGAAAGAATCTGCTGCTTGTGCTTCCCAGCAACCCATGCACCCATACAGTGTAATTACCTGCGATCTGCAGACCACATTGATGTGCATGAGCCAGAAGTAAGCGGTTGAATTCCAGCAGGCTATCGAGTTGGTGCATCAGAGTGCATATATGATCAGCTCATTTTCAACTGCATGCAAGGGTCAGTACAAATGCTATTGTGCAAGACACTGTGAATGGTGATGGAGCAGTTAACTGTGGGGTCAGTGGAACCTAGATGGTCGTTCCGATTGTCTGTGAAGCCTTTCAAACTAAGCTTCCCACAGCCCTCACAATCGCTTTGCATGCCTGTCAAAACCTTTGCCGGAAAATGGGCGGAAAATGCAGTCTGGTGTGCTTGCAGTTGCATCAACAAGAAAACATTGTCACCTGACCGGCTGCACAAGCAGAAGTGCAAACAATGCAGTGTTTCACTTAAAATCCTAACATCACCCAATCTGTCAGCCAAGGGATGCAGGGCATCAAGCTGCCTTCGCACTGTCCACTCACCAACGTCCACACACCGAATTGTCTTTGTGGGGCCCGCAGGGACGACTTGGACGCCCTGGGCTGGGGCCCGCACGACCTCTGGGACTGGGCAACCGACCGCAACAACACCACCAGATTCGACTTCGAGTTCCTGTTGGGCTGGGGCGGTCGCTACCTGCCCTCAGTCAGCGAGGGCCAGTACTATCGCTGGTTCACGTCCATTATTCTGCACCAGAGCCTTGTGCACCTCCTGTCCAACGCCCTCATCTTCGTGGTCCTGGGTAGCTACCTAGAATTCCGATACGGCAGCCTGCGTGTGCTGGCCGTGGTCCTCCTGGCCGGCCTTGGGGGCAACTTTCTCAGTGCCGTGGCGGAGGACCGCTGCTCTATCGTTGTGGGTGGCAGCGGCGTGGTGTTCGGCTTCATGGGCTTTGCCATCGTGGACCTGGTTCTAAACAGGGAGCTGCTGCTGCACACGGCGATCCGTGTGATTATCTGTGCCCTCTTTGTGACGTTCCTAGTTATGACCCTCGTCCTGGAGGAGTACAGCTCTCACATCTCGCACGCGGGGGGGTTCCTGTGTGGCTTTGCCCCGGCGCTGTTGTTCACGCCGGACCTGAAATATGAGCGGGTGGAGGCCATGCTGGTGTGGGGCGTGGCGGCCTTCATCGCTGTTTACTTCACCGCGCTGCCAGCAGCTATCTACCATGGCGTGCTGCCGGATCTTCAGTGCTGAAGCCGGTGGGGGCTGGGCTGGGATGGAGGGCGCTGCGACCACATCTTGGTCAGTTCTTTTAGATTTAGCTCTGTGAAGCTGGCAGCTGGGTAGACTCTTGTACTGTTTCTGAGCTCGCTTCTAGATGGTTGTCTGGACCGAAGGCCACAGCCGTTAGCAAGATCGGCGCCGGTATGGCAGTGGCTGATGTGGTCCGTGTTGTATCTTGATCAAGCTGCGCGTCTCTCACAGCTGCGGCTCTGAAGAGCCAGAGTGGCACGTTGTCCATGGTTGGATGCATGGCACGGCACAACAGTGCATGTCGGCATGTGTGGTTGACAATTGTATGTTACAGTTTGTCGCTGGCCTGGTGCGCGACTGTCAAGCAGAAGGATCCATGCACCGTGGTTTGTAACACTGCCTCATGGGAGGCTTTGTGCTGCACTTGTGGTGGGTTTTGCAGGTGTGCATTGTCTGGGCAGTGCAGTGCGCACACTGGCAGCGTTGGGCTGTGCAGTGGCGTATTGTGGCATGAATTAAACGCTGTTCAGAGCACAAGTGGACACCCTGGGGCGGAACACCGGGTGATTTGCTGCGGATTGACACCATCGCCATCAACCATTTACGTCACAGTGGCATGCCGGCCTCATCGGAACAGCCATTCATGAGCTGAACCCATGAATGCCTGCCACAATGTCACCACCCGTCAGTCGGAGTCACAGGGTGCGAATTTATGTGGATGTGCGCTCTTTCGACGATTCAAGCCGATTTTGGAGCGTTCGTGGGGCATTTCTAGGCTCTCCATAGGAAATTGATTACACCAGGGCCAAGGCGCACAGCATGCAACCATGTGCCACCTTGTGTGGGTTTTCGTCTCAATGGCTGTGCCCCCAGTATTGAATCAAACGGTCCTTGTCCGGAAACATGGCAACAACACCAACTCTGTATTGTTCGATTTGCCGCATGATGATCAGTGGTCATCGACCAGCACCACTGAAGGCCACTTGCGCACGTGGGTAAACATCGACCCTAACAAACATTGCCAACAGGACCTCAGTGCAGGGTTGGCCAGGGGTGCCACCGGAGCAGTCGTGTACCACTGCGCTTAACGCAATACTATTGCTATAGTATTGAAGTATTAGTACTACAGTATTGCGATAGTACTGTAGTATTACTATATGCAATGGTATTGAAGTATTAGTACTATTGAAGTACTATTGCGGTAGTATTGAATACTATTGCAATTGCATTCTCTGTGCGGCGGCGGTGACGGAAACCGTGCATTTTTACCTCGCACGCAGCGTTGGTTCACCTCGTGAGACAGAAGAGAAGGACATCCCATCATGTGGAGAGAACCCGCCAGTGGCCGCCCACGCAATGCTCACCAGTGCGCGGGGTACTGAGGCCGCCTGCCCCGCCATTGCCTGGCCTCGGTCGCTCGGTTCTCAACCGATTGCAGGCCCAGCGCACGGAGGGGTGTCGGAAGACGCCCGTCAACCTCAGCCCCCGCAGCAACAAAACCTTCAAACCTTGGCTGAACCCCACGGAACACGCGCGGGGGGCCCACGTCCCAATGATTAAAACCCCTCACCCGCATCTTCCCCGACGAAAGTATCCACATCGCCGAAAAGGCGCGTGGCCAGCGCACCCGCGGGCCGCCCGCCGGACGTTCGGACCAGCATCCCGTACACAGATACGTACACAGATACGCAGCCCATTACCAAATACCGCGCACCCTTTTCCTTTAAGCACACCTCCAGTGTCTCGCTGTCGTCGACGACAGCCAGGGTTCACAGGCCGCAGCACTCGGCGGGATCCAGGCTCGCCGCTTCAGGCCATCCCTCCCGCCCGGCCAGCTATCCGCCCGCCGCGCATAGATACGGGAACTAGGGCTGCGCGAGGCCGACCACCCTGCGCATCGCCGAAGTCCAGCCGGGGTCAAATCATCGTTAGCGTCGTCGCGAGGCGACTATCAACCGGTGCGGGCGGGCGTTGGGCACCTGCGCGATTGCAGGCGGCCTGGCGCATCGCGCGGGTAGGTGCGGCGAGTCACTCACGGCGAAGTGCGCGGAGGAGCCTTTGGGTGCGGAGGACGCGCACGAAGCAGAGGTGAGCCGCGGGGAAAGGAGCGGGGGCGGGGGGGGCCTCTGTTTGTTTCGGTCCCACGTGGTGACCTCGCAAGCGGCATTGCGCGGGATTGGGGACTGACCCGCGGCGCTTTCCCTGCAGGCGTCCTCGAGCGGGCGGGCCGTCGCGGGCGGGGACGAGGAATTGCAGCGGAAGGAGGACACAGAAGGGGGCCGCGCCGACGCGGGCATGAGCACCTTCGACAGCAGCCTCAAGGTGAGCGCCACGCAGACGTGTGGATGCGCGCGCCGGTCGAGCGGCGCCGCGGGGGGTGGGGGTGGGGAGGTGGGGGCGCGGCGTGCCTGACTGCGTTCCGAGGCCCCGCGTGACGTCGCGGCGTCCTTTGGACTGACGGGGCTTCGTGTCGTGCTGCGGAAAGGGACGGAGGGAATGGGCTCATAGGCGCGGGGGTTGCACTGCTGCATAGGGGCGAGGTGCGCCGCACGCCCATGTTGTTTGACCCCCCCCCGTTGCTCCGCGTCCGATGTGCTTGGCCCGTCTTCGATGCAGCCGCCCCTGGGGGGCTCCTGCCCCCTGCCGCCGCTGGGAGGTCGGCCCAGCCCGAATCCGTGGATGGCGTGCCTGTTCGGCAAGGAGAAAGGTAGGGGGGACATCACCCGGCCGTCAGCCCCGATCGACATCCAGCCGGGGGCCAGGAGGAGAGACGCGGGTCCCCACGCCGGATACGACAGTGCCCCTGAGACGGACGCCATGATCACCACATTTCAGCGTTGCTTTGATCGGCATCCCAACAGCAGGCGCAGGAGGGGCAGGGCGGAGGGGGCGGAAACGCAGAGCGAGAGGAGCGCCGACGAATCGTACGGCTCGTCCGGGCTGTGCCAGCCGGTCTGGAAGGATGGAGGCAGCAACAGACAGATCAAACGGGCGGTGCTTGAGGCGTCAGCTGCAACGTGAGGGTGTGGATATGGCTCTGGATCGCTCCTGATTGCTTGATAACCTGCACCGTGTTCCCCTTCAATCGTTTGTGTCAGCTTTTTTCGGCTGTGTTGGAGGAAGTCAGCTTTCACTGGTTCGCTCGTTGTGCCTGGTGTTGAGCATGATTGTGCTCTTGCGAGCAATGACCTAATAGACATGGTTCTGACACTGCCCGTCCCGGCCTTCAGTTATGCCAGTTTGGGTGTGTGAAGCTGAAGTGTTCATGCCACGTTTGTCAAGCATTCAGAACGTGACCATGCTTGTCAGTGTGCTGGTTAGGCCAGCTGTGAGTGGTCCTGCATTCTGTGGTACCCTGAGGTCCAAGCTTGTCCCATACCAATGCTGTTATCAAGGCATTGTTGCTGATGTGACAGGCAAGCACACGTAAAAAAGCAAATCGAGACCTGGTCAGATGATGCAGCCAGAAACGCAACACTGGGTTCCTCTGCACTGAATGGCAGGTGAGATCAGGAACTGCAAGTCACGGTCCAGGGACATTTACACTGGCAACTTGCTTGTACTTCATTTTTTGTGGATGCTAATAGTGCATATTGCAATTTGGATGCCTGTAGATGCTGACACACACACCATCAGCCCGTAAACGTTGCTGTTCATCCACAAAGTTCATTCAAAAGGTTCAATCTTCCTTGCCATGTACGCTTGTCCAATCCCTGTACTGGCAACTCACAGCACATCTGTGGTGGCACCAGGGCTAAAGGCGGAGTCAGTGCTGGATCAGAGCCTCCACCTTCAGAGCACAAGGTCACTGGGGAGGAGGGGGAATTGGTGCCTCCAAAGCCTCTGATGCCTACAGGGAATTCGCCAAAACTAAGTCATCCCTCAGCACTCCTAAAGGAAGAACACCTGAAGGGGCTTATGGCAGCCGTTCCGAACAGAGTGCACCAAGCTGATTGGCTGCTACTGTACAGCACCTCGAAACACGGTATCAGCTTGCAGACGATGTACAGGAGGGCGGCTGGCCATGCCCCTTGTGTCTTGCTCATGAAGGACCCAGGGGGGCACGTGTTTGGCTCATACTGCTCAGAGGCCTGGAAGGTTGCACCCAGGTTCTTTGGCACTGGAGAGTCTTTTGTGTTCCAGCTGGAGGTGAGTACCAGGCTGGGATTTTTGAGTTTTGTATGGATTTGATGTGGTGGTCGCAAGCCTGGGCACTTGTGGAGTACTAAATTGTGCGTCCATGCACCCACAAGACATTTTGATGAGCAAAAGATATGTAGCAAAGGTTTGCGTCGCCCTGAAGGCTATATGGTTCCTATGAAACAGTGCAAGATCAAAATGTCAGCGGGACATGGGCTGTGCATGGCAAGTTCTGAAGAAGTTGCGCACGAGTGTGTTAGATAAGTACACTGCACTGTGGTTTGCAACCAAGCCAGCTCCCAAGCACCATCAAAAACGAGGTAGGCCAGTTGGCCAACACAGCCAGTAAATGGGTCCTGTTGTTGTACGCAATGCATATTGCGCAGATTACAAGCTGATTGAGCAAAGCTGGCTTGACACCATCACCTTGGATACCCATAGATAAGCTACGCGTTTCATGTGGTGTATGCGGAAGGAAAACAGCGGTTGGAATCCTCGTTGGAAAATGCGGAGCATGTACTGCATGCATGTTCTGTAGGCATTGCAGTTCCCTGGAAAAAGCCCAGTGAGTTGCTGCTGTGGCGAAGCCACTGGTTGTATGTTCGTTGGGCTTGGTGTTGTTGACACTTTTGCCTTCTACTGCTTGCAGCCCCAGCAAGTCTACTACCCATGGAAGCGCAAACACAAGGTCCGAAACGACTACTTCATGTTTGGCTCCACTGACTCGATTGGTGTGGGAGGCTGTGGGCATTTTGCCTTCTGGCTGGATGGCGAGCTTCGGTGCGGACACTCTGGAGTGTGTGACACGTTTGGCAGCCCTTGCCTTGCTAGCAAGGGTGAGTTCAAGATCGTGGTCCTGGAGCTGTGGACGCTGATGTAGATGCTCTTTCATTTATTTCATTTGTTGCACTTGCCGGAAGTGACGGCTGCAGTGCACGTATTTTATTGGGAAAGGTTTAGGTCCTGGCTGCGATCTCGTTGGTGGCTGCTGGCGGGCGGTTTTGAGGAAAGGGGCGTGGGTGGAGATCGTGAGTTGTGGGAAGGGGGGCTCTCTATTTTTTGGAGTTTTCCATTGCGAGGTAGTGTGCCTCATGTAACCTAGTGTAACCTTGTACCCTTAGGCCTTGACCAGAGCAGATTGACGGTGCGTTGTGCGATTTCAGTCTCGCCGCTTTTGCTGCACCTGTGGGACAGTTACTGTGGGTTGGCATGACGGATGGTTTCCTTCTACCCTACTCTCCCGCCACAATGGCAGTTTAGTGACATATTATTGTCTCTGAGGAAGGTGCTGACATGCAAACTCCGAGTGCAAGACTGGTGGAAAGTGATGAGGCTGTAGTTCGTGGGAATGGTTGATCCCCAGCTAAAAGGCTGTGCAGACGCTTTCCTGCATCCCCCGTTTCGATGCTGCAATGCATGTGTAGAATGGATAAAAGCCGGTGGTAGTAGCTGGGCTGCTATGCTTGGCGCTGCCAAGTTGGCAGCACGGTTCTCATACTTGCATCCATTGCGTGTGTGCAGATGTTAAACGAAGATGTTGGCTATTGCTATTTTCTTGCCGTGGTGAAGTGCTTGCTGGCACTAGCCTGTTTACTGTTTCGTGTGCTTGGGTGGCCGTTGTGGTAACTTCGGACGTGGAAATGACCCAGTGCCAGCATGCCCACTTCAAATGGTGGCCGCTCTACAGGGCATGCCACATGTTCGCAGCTGATTAAGCGAAGCCAGCACTGCAAGTTGCCAGCACGTGGCGCACTGTCGTTGCAGATGTTGTCTCCTGCAGGTGAGATGGTTTCGTGCTGGCCCTTGGATTCCTGCAGGCCCTCCTCTTGGCCCCCAGACGTGTTCTGACCAACCATCGGTTGCTCAGTTAACAAAATGCCCAGCACTGTAGCATCAGCAACTTGAAGCCCATGCCATTTGGCATTGGACCAGTGAGGGGAACTATATGGCTGCCCGACCATCGTCCAAAGATCATTCGCCCGCCTCCCTGGGCAAAGGTCGAGCGAAGAGCAACCGGCAAAGGATTTGTAGTACCGTGCAAGGGTCAAAATATTCCGCCATTTACGTGCACCCTCGAAAACGCACATTTCTATCCCACACATTTTGCTGACGTCCGAGTCTCAACACTTCCTGAGTCTCCACACAAATTTTCCGCAAACAACACGGCAAACGCGCGGCAGTACTTCGGCAAGCACAATCCAACACAGGCGTGCTGACAAGTTTTAGGGCACTGAAATATCATGGTGTCAACTCCTCGCAATCCTCCAACGCCTCTTGCACACTCACGCGCTCACAAATGAGGCAAAGCCCCAAGGCAATCCTGGAAAAGTACAAGGACGGTCGAACAGACCAGAGGACGGGAAGGAAAGGAAGCGAGTGCCCGACACACAGTGGCGTGTTGTTAACACAGTACACACAAGGCGAACACAGCAAACGCGCCCTGCCACCCAGTAACCACAAAAGATGCCGGGACGGGCCCTTGACTGCCAACTGTCCAGCGGAATCCGCCGCGGCAATGGAGTGGAACATGCAGCAGGGCCTCCCGGGCTCACCAATTTCCTTTGGCCAAAGCACTTTCCGGTCCCCAAGGTCCCAGTTCCCAGTACCAGGTCCCAGCACTGGGCACGCAACCCAGGCGAAATAGCTGGCGTGTGCACGAAAATTGGCCCCCGTCAGTGGCTCCCATCCACCCATCCCATCCCTGCGCGAAGGCAATATCTGGGCGGCGACCATATTCCCCAGGAGCCTCCAGGAAAGTTCGGTTGGGCGGCGCCGTGCTCACCCGGCCCCAGGAGCCAGGATGTTTTCCGGCGCCTCCTGGCCATCGACCTCCCTGGGGAGCGGCCTCGCGAGGGGCAGGCGCTGCTCGCGGCCGCTCAGGCAGCCGCCGCGAGTGGTGGCCGAATCCGCCAGCCTGAAAATCCCCGACAAATTCGCCAAGGTGCGCGTGCCAAACGCGCCAGCCTTGCTTTGACCTGTCCTCCCTGCGTCCGCGTGTTTTGTGGGGCGCTGTCGGCGAGAGGGGGCAGGTGATGAGGGCTGAAGGGACGCGGTCATCAATTTGGCGCGCTTGCGCTGTGTGACGATAGATGTCGGTGATCAGACCAGAAGCAGGCTCGAATCTAAATGGTATTCTGTTTCCGTGCCGTTGCGCTGCTTTATGTGTGTTTGTGTTGGGGAGCCGGGGGGGGGGGGGATCTGTTGCCGATGGGTAGCCTCCGAAAAGCGTCACTCCAATCTGCTCGACATCTTTGAGATGTGTCAGACGCGGCGATGCTTCAATTGCCGTCTGATGTTGCCAGCAAGCAAGGGCGATATGATGTGATCGATGCAATTAGATGGTCAACTTCGCAGAAAAGGACAACTGAATGGGCATGTCAGCACATTGATTGAGTGAGGGACAAGAGCGGTGGACATTCCCAGCTGAGTAACAAGCCATCTAAGACAATTGTCCATGGCAGTGGTTTCCTGTGGTGAAGCTGGTAACAGGTGGATGTTCAAGTTGTGTCTCAATTGCCCATCAATAGTCTCCCCCTGGTCGCGCAGAGCATACACCCCATCACATATATGTGGGCGTGTGACAAATCAATAAGTCGTAAATTAGTCTACAAAACATTGTTGATTGCATTTGGCAACGCGTGGCAAAGGGTGCCCTTGCTCCAGTTGGGCATTATGGGAACATCTGGCGTCTTGCAGATTCATGGCACCTGCAGGCCATCTTGGCATGCACACCTGTGGTTGTGAATCTGTTTTGCCTGTCCATGGATTAGGTAACTCCTAGAGGCGAATATGTATATGTGAAGGCCGGGCCCGAAGAAGAAAAAACGTTGGGAGGTATACTGCTGCCGCCATCAGCAGCCCAGAAACCAACCACAGGTACGTCCCGCACCTGCAGGTGAAAACATCACTTGGCGCACATCCTTGTTCATCCCTCAGCTGGTTAGTGAAAGCCTTGCCTAAGCACTGTGCACGATTGGCGTAGCATCAGTCTGTTTTTACGAACAATCCACCTCATGGAACAATGTTGTGTTGCTGTAAGCACAGTCACTCTTGATGTAGTCTTTGCTGGAATGACAATGGATTTTCTGGAGGAGCTATGTGATTTGAAACGAAGGTTTACCATACTCAGCTTGGTGTTGATTGAGTTTTGCCTTGCTGAAGCAATGCAGGAAAACTTCATCAGTGTCACAGATCGCTGCATCACTTGTTGCCTGCTATCTGGGCTATTCATGAGAAAGCTGCCTTCTGGCAGTGGCCTGCTGTTCTTTGGATACAAGGAGCCCACTGTGGATGTGGCCACTGTAGTGGCAACCTGGCTGTGTGCGTGGTGCTGACTGCCATGGTATGCTTGGCCCAATATCTGCAGGCACGGTTGTCGAGCTTGGTGATGGCAAAGTGGGCTCCAAAACTGTCAAATTCTCTCTGAAGGAAAATGACACAGTGAGTCTCTTCATCTGTCTTCACTCTGAGTTGCTCTATGTGGACTTGTGTGGCACTAGGGTCAAGAAAATACAATGTGGGGAATGGAAATCTTCTTCTCTGGGCTTTCGTCAGCATGAAAAACTCTGCCTTTGCACCTGTTAGGCATCGTTGACCAACATGACAGGGAGCAAGAGAGTCTCTTGAAGAGACATATTGGTTGAAACTACTGTGGAGCGGGGACAAACTGATACTAACCATCCCAGTGGAGAGCTTGCATGGAAGAGTGAATGGCCTTGTCCCAGTGATCAATAGTGTGATGGACTGAGATCCATTGATGCGCTGGGTGTAAAATCAGCTAGCAGCAATGCAAGGGACATTGGAAATGCGCAAGGAAACTGTGCTGTGCTCAACTCCAACGTGCTGATTCGGGACTGCCCCAGTTATCTTTGTTTTTCAGGTGTCTGCGCACAGGTTAGGGATGCCTCTCGTTGATTCATGACCAGATAGAAAGCAGTGCTCCAAAGAGTGCCATGTACTGCAGCTGCCTGCCAGGCATGAATTCGCCCAGCCTTCTGTAGTGCGTTCGTTTCAATACAGTTGACCCTTCTGAGCAACGAGGCTCGTTGGGCGTCAGCTTGGCTTGTATCAAAATCGGAAAAATATGTGTCCATGGAAACCAGCAAGCCAAGCCCACAGTAATGGAGGGGAGCATTGAAAAGGGTTGGTTTAACTTGCAGGTGTTGTACAGCAAGTTTGGATTCATGTACACTGAGCTGGACAAGGCTGGAGAGCGATATCTATTGATCAGAGAGGAGGACGTCATTGGGACACTGCCAACGCGTGCTGAAGGTGTGAATATTGTTTTGGCATTGGTGCAACAGCTAATTTCCTTTGTTTGACATCACGGGTAAAAGAAAAGTGCAGCTGTGGCATCCTACAGAAGATGGAAGGTAGTTTGTGCACCTCACACTTGTGACCAAATGCTTCAATTCTGCACCCTGACGAACTCCAGCCCCAATCAATGCAAAACTGGTGGCATTCTGCCGATGCTGATTTTCCCCATGTGCAGATCTTGTAGAGATCACCTGGTGCAGCCTTTAACATGGCTTTTGCGCTGTCGTGTTGAGGCTTTTGTTTCTGGTTTCAGATGCCACTGCCGATGACTGTGCCAAGCTGCAGCCATTGGGTGACCGTGTGCTACTCAAGGTATGCTGTACTCTATACTGGTGGACCAGAACTATAGAAAGTTTGGGGTCGTATTTTAAAACCTTTGTGCTGAATGTACCTGGTAAAGTAACTCGAATGCCAAAGTCTGAATGAGACCCTCATGCTTTCCAATGGGATGTACCTCTCAGCAGTAACCAAGGCGGGTATTGTGTGTGAGTGTTCAAACAATGGCTAATTTCTCATGCTGATCGATATTGTTGCTAATCATATTATTATCTATGTTCGTCTTGGTTCAGATTGTTGAATCCAGTGACTTGACTGCTGGTGGCGTCATTCTCCCGGAAAGCGCGAAAGAGCGACCCATGCTAGGAGAAGTGGTACGAGTGGGCCCAGGAAAGGAGGGCAAGGATGGAGAAATTGTGCCCTGCAAGGTGGGTTGAGATGGGCATGTTGATGTTGTTGAGGCAAGGCTGGTGATACTGTTCGTTGCATTTCTGATTCGAAGTGTATTACTGTCCAAGTTTGCTGTCTCCGCAACGTCTACTTTGCCATATCTATCCGGAACTCCTGATGTTTTGGTGATGGTCTATTACCTGTGCACATATTCAAGTCTACAATCAGGAAATGTACCCATAGTGCACGCCTTCATTGAGTTCGATGTGTGGATCAGCGCCACCCTATGGCAGGCTGGAAAACTCAGCCTGAAGTTCTTGTGGTTGCCTTCGCTGACAGGTGAAGCCTGGAGAACTAGTCCTGTATTTCAAATATGCAGGCGATGCTATGGAGACCTTGCAAGGGGAGAAATACATCGTCCTGCACGAAACGGACATCCTGTGTAAGGCGTGACTGAAGAATGGTCACTTCATCCCATGTTCTCCCTCATTGGAGCATACACGACCTTTGACCAAGACTGAGATGAGTTCTGTTCTGTGGACTCTGCCTGCTGATCTGTGGCATGTTCTTAGGGGCCCAAGGCCATGAGGTTCTGCGGCCGCTGCACAGTGCAAAGGTAGTCAGGCATAATGTTAGTTAGGTGGCATGCTGGCGTAGACTGCACCTCTTCATCTCGTATCAGGGTGGTGTACATATGCACAGCTCCCATTGATGACGTCTCAGGCCATTGGCTACCCCGCTGGTGTGGACAACTAATTGACAACGTTGAATGGGCAATGGCACCAACGGCACCCAGGCCACTGTCCTTGCCATGATCTCGGTGTCGCTTTTGATTCCCTTGCCTCTGGCTGCGTTTAATCGTGGAGTTGCGACTAGATCACATGTACTGGTGGGATTTGAAGCTCCTCATTGATTCGGGACGCCAGATACTGATTGAGCAGCGCACGGAGCTCCTTGTTCTGCGTGTTGAGGCTCTCCACCTCCCTCAGCGCCTTTTCGCGCCCGGTCAGCGTCGTGTGGTACTTCTTGAGCTGTTTGTGCAGGGCGCCCCACACCCGGAACGACTTGTCATCAACGGCCTTCCCCAGCCGCCTCCAAAACTCCTTCTCCTTTTCCAGGGTGCGGCGGCTCACTGCGGCATGCCTGGAGGGGCAGAAACGCACAAACGAGAACGTTGGAAGCAAACATTGCAATGGCTACGAGGCATGTGCGTTTGCATGTGCAGGTGTCGATGGCATTTGGGCCTTAAGCCACAGAAATACTGCCATGCTGGATTGGATTGGAATCATTATACCCAGAAGAATCAGGCATTATGACAACTTGAATTAAGCACAAAAGTCATCTAGTACAGTTTGATGCGTTCCCTCACACCCGTCCAGCCTGCTGTGCAAAGTGAACCAGTGGAGCAGCTGCCAGTGCCCAAATTCGCAATATTTCTTGCACAATTGGCTGCATTATTCCTGTCAGCGAAGACGATGAACATGTGGTGCTGAGAGATCCCCTCTCCCCTCTTTGGGCAGCACCATTTATGACCGACCTCGGGTGCGAATCAAATCCCCCATCAATCAGGTCCTTCATCTGCCTCGACGCCATCACTGACAATGTTAAGAACAATCATTCCGTCAGACAAGTTGTCGGTCACCATTATAGCACTGTGCTATTGCTGTGCTTGCCTTGGGATCGCTATGTCTGCCTTGCGTTGCAATAAGGTGAGAAGAAATATCTGCAGGCGGTATAAGTTTGCCACCTAACAACCCGTCGACAGTAAAGCATGAGCTATGCTTTGGGAGATCCTCGAAGGGGCAACGAGGGCCGCACAGCTGCCACCAACCCACCTCCGGGGTCCCGCCATTCCCTTGGTCGTTGCCTTCGGCGGTGGTGGCACAGTCTCGTGCTCAACAAACACCTTGAGCCTCCGCATTACATCGTCGGGGTGCACGAGGCAAGCATCCTCGGGTTTTGCCGTGTCTTTGGAATCTTCAACTGCGCGATGGACGGGCAACAAAGTACTGAGCAGATTCGCCATCGTTTGCATTCTTATTGTCAGCGCCTGCGCCTGGTGCATCATCAGCAGCATGTTGGCTAAAAGCATACGTTCTTGCTGCCGATGTCATAACGAAATTTCCGAACTGGGCCCCTTCAAGACCAAGTTGATCCTAAAGGGTTGATCGCTGCTCAGGGCATAGCAAACCCGCCAGGACCGTCGGTCTGCAGACACGAATTTGAATAGATGGCGCCAAGAGCTGACGCAGCACAATTTGAAAGACACATTGTCGATTTCGGAATGCTGAACAACATGATGCTGCGCTTTTAGTCACATCCACCACCTGCCCCAGCGTCAGCTGAACCTTGACCTTAGCCCTGATTGAAGCCGAGGTGAGCACCAGCACCTTATTTCACCGCCAACAAATAGAATAACTGCTGGTGCCCCTAATTGTGAGTGTGTAACCCTCAGTGCTACACTAATGGCAAGATAACTTTTAGTGCATTCGCATTAGGAGTCACAGCGCGGATTTAAAGTCTGCTGCCCAGCACCTAGCCTTCCCGCTTGCACTCCCTGAGCCCTCAGCTCTATGCTGCTGTCCGCGCGCAGCGCCTCCATCAGGGCGTCGAACGTCGGCCCGTCGGTAACGCCCAGGGCGTAGATGACGGCCTCCGCCGAGGCCATGCCATTGGCGTTGGTGCCAACGCCCTTGACCAGCTTCCTGGCCTTGGCGTCCTGCAGGAAGCCGGTCTCGTCCAGTACGAGCTGGAGGGCCTCGCGATGGTCCGCAGAGTCAATTCTGTTCCGAACCTGACAAAGGCGAACGCCCATATGAATCAACGTCAGTTCTTTCATGTGCGACGCCAGGCGCTGGTATGGACGCCGCTGGCGTTTCGTTGAAGCAAACGTGTGGGTTTCGTGAGTTTGTTGTCGACACATTGTTGGGTGCACCCCCCCTGCGGTGGCTGCGTCATATTGAGCCTTGCTTCGACACCTGGTTGCGCATGCAGACCGCTGGAGGTATGCTTGACTGGCCATAATGTGCTGATAAGCGATTGCAGGTGCGTTGAAGGTGCTGCGGACTTTTAGGCTGTCTGATTAGGACGTATGATGTGGGTCGCCAGCCAAGGCGCATCGGTGTCATGACACCCTTCGGGAACGCCATCTCCTCGCCGCACATGGAGCTGTCGCTGTGGGCACCAAGTCAGCCACACCGCGAAAAGGCGCATCCAATGCGTGTCAATATCCAAGATATCAAGCTGCACTTGCAGCAACAATGGAGAATGGAATCAGTCCTTCCCCAGCCTGCTTCCCGATTTCAGCAGCTCGATTCTTGCACAGGCTTCCTTGTTGCGCACCAAGCTCAAAACGCTCGACGGCTTTCTTGAAGTGTGTTCCGTACGCTTGGCGCACCTCTGCGATTCCCGCTTTCCCCCCTTCGCCCTCTTCCTGCCCCTCCTCGGCATCCTCCAGTTCTTCCGCCGTGCTCTCGACGTTCTCCTTGGCCTCCGCCTTTCCGCCGCTCTCCGCGCTGTTTGGCGAAACGAACAACTCGTCGCTTGGTGGCTGCCAGGCCCACCCCAGTATCTGCTCGTGGATGATCCTGTCCGCTTCCAGGGCCTGCTTCGCCAGCTCCACCGTCCCCTCCTCTTTCATGGCCCAAACGTCCGAGAACTTTTTAAGCTCCACGTTTTCGAAATGCCAGAATTTCGACTGCACGCGCGTCACAGGCTTGCGCATCAAAACCGGGAACAGAGGCAGAGAAGCGATTTGATGATGGGATTTAGTCCGCGATCGCATCGAGCAGATTCATATCGAACAGTGGAAACACAGATCTTCTGCGTAGCCATTGAGAGTATGCTGCAGCTGTTTACAGTTGAATTGATTTCTTGCTGTGTGGCATCGCGCAGCGGAAAAGCAACAGAAACAGTATCTGAAATATCCAAAAACCAGGCAATTGAATTTTCTTGCAATTCCGTGCCGTTAGGAAACTTTGCATGGATAACATGCATTTGAAAATGTTCGCAACGTGTGGAGTAATGTGTCTAGGCTGCAAAGTGATTTCAAACTACACAATTGGGCCTGGGGCCAAAGTGAGCATTGCTCTGGACGGCGCCAATAAATGCAGAGTACGTTCCTTCTGATTCCCATTGTTGACAGAAGTCTCTCCTCGCACGTCCAAGCCTAACGTGGGATATGTTTTCAACGCGCAATAGCGCCCTAAAGCAGAGAACGCGGAACACACACACACAATCACTTCAGAAAGGGAACTCATCGTGTGGCCGATTTCCCTTGCATGATTAGGCTCGACCACATCCGCACCTGCAGCTCCTGGAACCGCTGAGTCATTCTCTTGTACTCCTCAGTTAGTTTCATGTTCTCCTCGACGTACCGCTTGTCAAGATCTCCGTACTTGCTTTTGAGGTTGGACAGCACGTCCCTTTGACGGGAGATCTTGCGCTTCTGCTGGTTGATGGTGCTCTGGTTCTCATGGTCCCTCTCCACCAGAACCCTGTAGTTGTACTCCAGCTTCTCTGTGTTCAGCTGGTAGGTGGCCCGCATGGTCTCCAGGTGCTGCTCCAAATTCTGGATGTCCGTCTCCAGGCGGATCTTCAGAATGTTGTACTCCTCGGCGTCCGCCACGCGCAGCATCTCGAGGTGTTTCTGGTATTCCTCGGCGGCCTCCAGATACCGCTCCATGAATTCGATCTCCATGTTGTCACGCTTCTCAAACAGCGCGTTCATGTGTGCTTCGTTCTTGTTCATGAGATCCTTTCTTTCCTGGGTTTGTGAATCGCAGAAAATTGACGTGAGTGACGCACGTGCGTGTCACGCAACGCCTTTGCCGCGAGTTGCCTGTCAGGTCGCGGGAGAGACGTTGTCGCGGTGAAGTAAGGTTAGCTCTCTTGCTCGAAATGAAGTCAGTCTCGGTGGGTTTTCTTGCTGCGATAGTGAATTTGTTTGCATGCATTTCAAATGCGGTGAGGACTATATTCAATTCAAGCACAATGCAGTTTACTGCATTGCAGGATCACCACGTTGTTTATTCTGTTGCAAATATGCGCTGAGCACCTCCAGAAAAGCGTTCTCAATTTCTTCTATTTCCTCGCCGTAGGAAGTGCGCAACTCGTTGCTTTGCGCCATCATGTGCTGTAAAAGGCTGTCGATTTGCTCCGCCTGGCGTTTTAGAAGCTGCAGAGGCACAACCCCCCTTTGCGTCACCGCACGAAAATAAGCACTCAAGCTGCAAGCGGACAGTACAATGACATTGTGCCAGTGGCACCCTGGCAGGGTGAACTGCATCTTTGATTGTTCACTGCACGTTCAACACTGACATTCTTCTGGCATGACAAGTCAACTATTCGGCTACAATCACTCCGTTGCAATTCATTGAACATGCCCATGTGACCATGGGCAGTGTTTGCTTTGTGTATGCAGGACGCAAAACAATGAATTTCCTTCTTGCACA